CAATAAAACCAGTATCTCCTGAAACAAGTCCAGGCATTCGAGGAACTGTAGGAGCAGGGGGGAAAAGACGACTGGTGCGATCTTCATAAGTCGACAAGTTTTCATTGTTGTCCTGTACCACAATTTTGAAAAAGGATGAAGGATGAGAGGGAAAAAGAAACTCATATTTGAAGATCATAATTCATGTTGCACATTCAGAACAACGTTAACAAAATGATTTCCCAACAAAATTCATGGAAAATACCAAATAAATAAGTGGAGAGTTACGTACTGTAATCAACTGGCTATCCTCCACCCAATTTAGACTAACCACAGCAGCTTCATGAGACTTTAGGCTTCTCAACAACTTCCCATTCTGTTTGAGATGGGAAATAAAAGGTTTAAAAACAGCAAGAAAACTAAGAGAAAATAAAAGGTACATCCTACACTTTTATCCTGGACTCTAAACATTGATATGAACTTAAATTATATCATTCTGATTAAAGTAAAATATCAAAATAAAATATTGCATTTCAAAACAGCATTTCTACTGTAGTTACTGACCAGAATGATAATCGAAGACTGAAACCAGTAGTTGCAAAGCAATTATATTGAAGATGCCAACTACTATCTAAAACTCTTTAGTAGATCAAACACCTTAGAGGAAGAAATCAATGAAGGAATTAAAATAAAATCTCCATTTGTTTTCTAAAGGAAATGGAAACGTAATCTATATTGGGCACATTGGAAGCTGAATCTAATCAATGTCAGTACAACTGTACTAACAGGTGTCTGGATCACCAGAATCGAGAGCAATAATTCCATAATCGACTGATGAATAGGAAAACTATATTTTAAAGTTAAAGTAAGGCTACTCACTTCAACGTCATGCAACAAAACTGTCCCATCCTCAAGTCCAACTGCTATCACCTTACCATCAGGCCTCCAACATAAGGATTTTATAGACCTTCCTACATATAATTTATACATTTATACATTTATTCATAGCCAAGGATGTCACTAAACAACAATGTAGCACATAAGAACCAAATAACAAAGTGCAAAACGAGGAAGCAACAATATCATCGTCCTGTTCTAAGTATTAGATTTCGTTGAACCAAAATTGTTCTTAGCAAGAGTTTAGACATCAGTATAATACCAATAGTTCAAAAATCACTAAGTTATCATTAAATAACTTAAAGATGGTTATTCGAAAGGTGAAATATTGCCCTTCGCTCTGATTTAGTTTCATCAATTTTATATCAATCTAATTAACCTATGCATTACATTATAACAAAAAAATCAGGCTTCAACATATACCATATGCACTTCTTTAGACCAAACAAGTACGATAAAGCAATGTGAAACTGAAAACTGGAAGAGACCCTTAAAATTTTCTTTTTAAGAAATTAGGAGATATATAACTCACCAGGCGATATAGTCCACAACCTCTGCCAGTTGAAACGGTGAAGCAAAATTTTCGAGTCTTCCGTGACCATGGCTAGCAAATCCTTTTCCGGGTTCCACTCGGCAATTTTAACCTTGCATTAGAGAATCATCAATATTCAGAGCAGAAAAAAACTCGCTCATCACACAGAATACTAGAGGCATCATTCCCCCAACAAATGGACAAATGTATGAACAACTAAGTAGGAGGCTGATGGTGAGGTGGTAAAAGTTAACCTGAGAGGCAATAGGCTTGTCGAATTGCAGCTGAAATGGAAGCACATGCTCGGCCTCGTCGGTTTCCATAGCTAGAGCTAAAATGGAAAAATCCAACAGTACCAAAATTCAGAAAAGAAAGTAGAAATACTTCAGAAGCTAAAGTCTTAATCGAACAACTTGATTGACTCCTTTACTTACTTGTCCAATGATTACTCCAAATGAACTACTGAAGAACGAGAGAGACGCCAAGAATGAGAAGCCTTTGAGGGCGAGAGCTCCGGCACCGAGGATTCCACTTTCCTGGAGTTCGGGATGAGCTTTTCGGGTGACTTTCGTCGCCGCCGGTCACGAGGGCGCGAGAAGGAGCTCAAAAAACAACTGGCACGGGCTTTAGCGAGTTAGACAGTTCATAGTCCGGCCCAGAGAAATTAAGTGAAAAAATTTTCTTAATTACAAAAAAGAAACAGCTGTTGTCAGGGATCGAACTCCCGTCAACAATTTAAAAAATAGCGAAAATAACACCATTTCCAGTGATCGAACCCGGGCCGCACACGCGTGCGACGAAAATACTAACATACTACGATGAAATTATAAATCTAAAATTTAGTTATTGTCAATAAATATTTGTTTTTAATTTAACAATTAATAGTTTTTGTTCAATAAAAAACAACGTGTTTCTCAATATTTATGGTGACTTTTATTATTAGCAAAAATCACAATAGTAATTAATTTAAAAGGTTTATTGAAGTACAAAAATTAATTTAATACTTAATTTGATTTTATTAAAGTAATGAATTTAAATAAAATTAATGAAACTTATAATTTAACTTGATTTAATGATATTTCAGTTTTTTTTTTTAAATGTAGATATTTTATGGAAAAGGTTCAAATGTTTTATTTATTTTTATTTAATTTAATATTTAAATAATTATAATGAGATAATATTAGAAGCACACGTAAATAATAAATACATTGACTAAAAACTCTACCAGTCTTGTGTTGAAAAGGTTTGTTTAGTATTCCTGGTATTATTAACCCCATGGTAACTCCCACATCGTAACTCAACAACAACTACAACACGTGGCAACATGCATAATGTCCTATTTACAAGGATAAGACCTTTGAGAGGTCGTTGGCGGGAGTGAAACTACGCTGCCAGAGAAGGATTCTAACGGTCACGAAGCCTTATGCAAATAGAGAACCAAACAGATGTAGATAACGATTTAAATTATGGAATAATTACACAGTCAACTTAAGAAAGTTTAATTAGTAAAGATTTAAATTAAAATAGAGTATAATAAAATCATCGTGTATTGCAATGTTGAACGATAATGCGTGGAATTTAGTTGGAATGACGTAGTCAACCAACTCCACCAATTAGATGTATAATATAAAGTTTTATTTTCAATATTAAAAAAGTTGTATAATATAAAGTTTTATTTTCACTATTAAAAACAACATCAAAGTTTCACATTTACGTAACCAAACGTCCAAGAATGACCAAGTAATGGATATAAATTGTATTTTTCATTTAATTGGATTACTATAAAAATGATTGAATAAAAATTTATTCGTTAACCATGTATGTGTGGAGTTTAGCTAGAATAGTGCAATAATTGGAGCCAAGTCAACCAACTCCACTACGTGGATGGATTAGGTGGAACCAATTGCTTATCATTTTCACATATAATATGTATATAATATGAGTATTAATTCAACATTTTTTTAAATATTGAACAAATTTTTATATTATCTAAAAGCATAAAATTTTAAATTTATATATTTATTTATCGAGAATGACGAATTACTCTACATAAACTATATTAAATAATTTTACTTTTCAATATAAACCAAGAGATAGGGGACAGTTATTCTACAATTATCTTTGTTTTTTATTTATTATTTTTTTTATTATGTATAAAAGTTGAATTTACCCCTAAATGAATCCTTTAATTTGTAATAAAATAATATAAAATTTAAATGTTATTTTTTATTTTTACGCAAATTTTTTCACGACAATATACGTGGAGAAAACGAATGAGTCGAAAATGTATGGAAGCAAGAGACTAAATACATTTAAACCCATCTAAACACACCTGATATGAATAATATCATGTGAACTAAATAATGTACGTGGGTCAAATAAAGTGGGGTTCGTGTTCGTATCATGCGAACAAAAATAAAAAATTGGTTCAAATTCAAAAGGCTCAAGTCAGTCAATATTGACTACTATGAAGTTGCGTAGCCTTATGAGGCTAGCTAAAATTGAGGTATGATTAAGTTTCGTGTGAAATTCCACTTTTGTTGGAGAGGAGAACGAAACATTACTTATAAGGTATAGAAATTTCCTCAAAACAAACGTGTTTTGCGTTTTAAAAATCTTGAAGGAAAGCTAGAAAATGAAAGTGTAGAGAAAAATATTTACTAGTGGTGAATTTAGGTCAGTACTAATTTAAATATCTGTCTAATTTAAATATCAGTCTTTAGATAGAAGTGATTCTTCTTTAATACTTCATTGGAAAATGTAAAACTGGTTCGCGAGGGTCCAATATCGTAGTGGTTGTGGTCGAGCTGCACTAGGTGGACCCGACCCGCTAGAATACTCATGTGAATGTATGTGACCGTGGAGACACCCATTCCGATTGAACCCACGGCGTTATTTCCCCCTTTTTGACTCATTGAGATGAATGGGTCCTATGCGCTGTTGACTCACATTAGCATCGATATTAAATATGTAAAAAGAGTAACAGCCGTCAACCCATGGCCGCCCGCCTTATTAGAATATATCGAGTCCAGTCAAAAGAAACCCGCACCGGCAGAGTTCGGATCCTCTACACCCTAGTCACCATACACTTCTCTCAAAACGACGCCGAATCGCAGTGTCACATACACGTGTCTCATCTCGGTTGCCTAACTTTGATACACGTGTCACGAAAAGAATTTAAAAAATTAAAATTTAAAATACGTGTTGGAGAAGGAACCGGAATCGCCGACTTGAACCGACCATATCTCCACGTCAGCAATCTGAAGCATCCAGGTAAATTCCAACCCATTACCAGGCAACACGTGTCCCACTACTCCAACGGCTAGTTTTTGCCCTTCATTTCCTCGTTCCTCCACTTACTTTTAACCGCCAAAGGAGGTAAATGACATCAACGATAAAAACGGAGATTTTTCTTCCCCGAAAATTCCAGCGGATTCTGTAAAGCGCGTGGGGAATATTTAAAACATTTTCTATTTTTATTTTAAGTTTTAAATTTTTGAAAAGCGAAATATCCCATATTTTTCTATCGGTATAAATAAGATGGAATGTCGACAATTTGAAAGCAACTCCGTAGTTTGCTGAGTTTCCATTTTAAGAGCAAAAATTTTCTTTGAAACTGAAACTGAAACTGAAACTGAAACTGAAACTGAATCAGAAATAGAGAGAGAGCGAAATTCAAATCTCCACGCCCATCGACAATCAGGTTCGTTTCGCTCCAGATTCAAATTTGAATTTCTTCATTATTCGACACTAAATTTAGATTTCTTCCTTATTTGACACTTTCAATCTGCTTTTGGAAAACTATTGTTATAAAAAACGGATTCGCTTCGATCAGATTTTTGTTAGGGTTCTTGAAGCTCTTTGAATCTCGTAGTTTATAGATTCGGTTCTATTTTCTTTTAGGATTTTATCAGTTCTAAATGATTTATGTTCGTTCTTTCCCGCGCGTTGATACAGATAAGCGGATAGATTTAAATTATTTTGAGTATCGAGAATTAACAATGGCGTTGGGAAAGAAGAGCGGTTGTTTGAAATCGAAAAGCGTCGTCTCTGCTGCTGCCGATAAAGAGCTGGATTTCGGAGTTGTGAGATATGCGCGTGGTTTAGGAAGGAAACGTGTTGTGATTTCTTGCAATCAGGAGGATTCGTCTATCGACTTGACGCCGAAGGCACCGTCGAAGAGGCGCTGCAGCGTCGTCAGTACGACGGTGGACGCTGATTGGTCTCTGCTCGAGGTTCTGCCTCAGGAGATTCTGGTTAGTACAATTACAAAGTTCTTGAGATTGAAATCGATTCGATATTGCACCTTTCAAATCCTTGCATTCGGTCCCTTTTTCGACTATTGTGTCTGAAATGCATTTTTCCCCCCTTTCCCCTCTCCATTAGCTTAGGATACTCTGCGGTGTGGACCATGATGACTTGAAACAGCTAGTCCGTGTTTCGAAAACAATTAGCGAAGCGGTAAGCATCACTCGCATCATTCTTCACATTATTTGTTTCCTTCCATTTCTTTCATTGATTCTCATTGATTAAGGGTCTCAATTGCATTTACAGACTTTAATTGCCAAAGAATGGCATTTCGCTTATAGAACCCCCTCAAAGATCCGTGCATTTCGCACTTCCATTGAACTTGACGACAATTTCATCGATCTCGACGAGATTGAAGCCCCAGATGCTCCTGTCACAAGACGATTTAGGTCTCCATTAAGCAGAAAAAAGCTCGCGGACATTTCCGTGGCCTTGTTTGCCGAAGAAGAGCAATGGCCAAGGAAAAAGTACGCCATTGAGACAGAGATGTGAATTAAGCCAGAGGGCTCTGTAAATACATCTGTATTTTTGTTGTAGAAACACGGTGTGCTGGTAGGAAGAAAGACGTAGTTAGGGATCTGAGACATTTTCACCGACAAATTCTTCAAATCTTTCATTGAAGATGAAGATGAAGATGAAGATGGGTGTGTTAGGAATGCATCTCGTTCTTTTTGTACATGTATTACAGAGGCAGGCTGATAGGTAAATTCGTTTACAAGGGTAGCATTTTGGTTTAGTCCCTTATCAAATTCTGATACATTCGAACAGTTCATTATACTGTTGCTCTCATTTGTTCTCTGTCTAATAAAAACGAAGCCCATTTTCCTCGGAACTTCGTGTCACCACTTAGCCTTACGTTTCTGGTTTCCATATGTATTTCTGGTTTTGATTCAATTTGAATTACTTCCCATCATTGGCAGATGGGATTGTGGGGTTTCTGTTTTTCTTTCCCTTTTGGTGTGGTGTGTGATTAAAACGATCTGTAACGTATGGGGAATTGCGGTGGGCATAGAGCGAAAAAAAGCTGGATTTGGACACACAATAGGAATTACCAGAAGTGTCTCGACTTCGACTGCCTTTTTCCCAATTAAGTTGTGGGAATGTGCTCTGTATAATCTGGATTGATGAACTGGCGACCCTGAAACTTCGTCTCATTAGAGGTCAGTTTCTTTTTCCTTCTTCAAATTAACTAGAAATGTGGACAGGAATTTGAACTTTTTAATTGTTAAAAGAGTTCACAACTGCAGGAAATCATGGGCCACCGCTATTGTTTTCTTTAGGCTTTTTTAGCTTTCCTCAAATTTTTTAAAATGTACAAGCTCACCTAGTAGTATTGTCTTCTTTGGACTTTTACCTTCGAGCTTTCATTAAGGTTTTTAAAGTGTATAAGCTAATCCTTGTAAACTCGTGTAAAAATGTTTTATTCTCCTCCCTAATAAGCCTTTTCTTTTTGGATTTTCTCCTAAAGTTTTTAAAACTCAATCGGTCAAGAGTTGACCGCTCTACCACTGAGCTATTGAGGAACAACGGTAAATTAGGTTTCAAAAAATTCAATTCCCATTTTTAACCCATGATCAATATGAGTTTAAGGTGATCAATATGAGTTTAAGGTTTCCTTCGTAACTCCTAAACTTTTTCTTAGTGGCTTCGTTCCATGCCTTGTTTCATAGAGTACCTTAAAGTGAGTACCTTAAAGTGACTCTATTTCATTATATTCTATCCATATCCCAATTCCATTAATTTAATATCCGTGTGTCACTATAAGAGATTTTCACACCTTTATAAAAAATGTATTATTCTCTTCTCCAATCGAAGTGGGATTTTATGGAAGGCTTAACCCAAATGTAGTTGATGAGTTACCGATTCGTTCTGTGCTTATTTTTTCTACTTTTAAAGCTCACATTTTTATGCATACTTCATCTCTAAAATTAGGTGGGTCCATCTATCAAATTAACAAGACACTACTACAAATTAATCTAGTCTGTATAACTTTGAAAAATAGTCCTTAATCGCCATCGTTAAGTTTCCAACACAAGCGAACGAACAGAAAAAAAGGAACAAGATCTTGAGTGAGCAAGTCTTACTATGATAATAATGAAAGCTTTATGATCATTGGGTTGGATGTATGTTCTATTATTGGTGTCATGTTCGAACTGGTTGCTGCTAATGTATTTGGACATTGATTTTTTTAGTGTTCATAGCTAGTGCTGGAATGATTAGCTGCTTTTAAGGCTAAACTTCCCCATTTTAAAATACACTTAGTTTACGGCATCATTAATTGTTGTGTATATGGTCTCAATCAAGTAATTTTGTTGTTTTTTATACTAAATAATTATGTCCAGTGGGGGCTGTCTTTCGCGAATTCCTAGAATGCCATAATTATTTAAATTCCTTTTTCCAAACCCTCGTTCTTATCTACTTTGAGTCACACTTTTCAGAATATCATTATTAGATAAATTTTTATATTCAAATTAAGATGGATAATCATGTTTTTAAATTAACAGTTGTTATACCTTACGTGGTATTTTAGCTACAATCTATTGAAAAAACCTCCAAACTTATCTTGATTCTTCCATATTTGGTATTATTATAGCGTCTTTTTAACATTTAAAAAATAAATATATTCTATCGATTTTAAAAAATGACACAATAAAATATTAAATAAAATAAATAGTTAGCTATTCTTTGTATGTGTCATGGTCTGCAAGTGGCTTGAGTATTTTAAGCAACAAGCAGTGACCCCAACACACAGTTCATACGTGTGGGTATGGGCTCACCAGACAGTTTACACGCCACTGGGCCCTCTTTTCTTGTCGGATGATCCTTTTCTGGTAGCTCTCGTCTGTCTAGTGGATATTTTTCCATTTTCATTATCATTTAATACAACCCCACTAGCGTTCGGTACATATTGTATCATTTTTCATATCATTTCACATATCGTTAGCGTTCGGTACATGTTGTATCATTTTTTATATCATTTCACATATCGTTAATCATTCATATCATATAAATACATGACTCTCCACAGTGGTATGATATTATCACTTTGATAAAATCTCGTGACTTTGCTTTGGGCTCTCCAAAAAACCCTTAATCATGATCAATAATGTTTTCAAAATTTAAATTGAATTTTAATGGCAAAATAGTAGAAGTTGACTATTTAAGTATACGTTAATATCTAATCCAAATTAAATTTATTAAATAAACAATCAGAATGAAAAAGAAATATTAAAAAAAACATATAGGACTCTTATATATATATATATATATATATATATATATATATATATATATATATATAT